AAACAAAAGACAGTCATATGAGTTGAACATTTACCTGAAGTAGATACACTCCCTGGAGAGAACAATCATAGGAGGAAGAAGAGCCGTTTATGCAGCAGGAGACAGGTGGGACTGTAAAATGGTACAACCACTGTGGAAAGCAGTATGGTGATTCCATTCAGGGAGCAGGAGTCCATAGAGGGATGGACACAGGAAAAAGGTAACTATCGGGAGGAAGTGGAGGGGAGCTGTTGCATTGGGGTAAATTGTAGTCAGTGTCATGAGACAAAGTGTATGTGAACTTCTGTATGGAAAGTGAATTTTCTCTGTTAACTTTCACCCAAATCACAATAAAAAAAAATGATATGAGTGGGTAGGAATGACAGCCTATGAACATGGATTACTCATCTAATGATTGAGATAAGATAGAAAGCAAAATGGGTATTAACTTGTGAGGCTCAATAGACTTTCTGAAGAGATAATTATTGTTTCTTTTAATGTTAGAAAATTTTTCATTGTTGCCATTAAAAATCACATTTCATAAAGGAAATTTAATGTTGAAAGTGCTACACCTAAAGTTACGTGTTTTACTATGTCATCTCTACACATGTAGAGAGCCCTGAGGAAGATGTTTAATCCCTGATTAAGATTCTCTAATATAAATCATAACATATTTTCAATGTTGTTGTTGTTGTTATGTGCCGTCGAGTCAAACCCGACTCATAGTGACCCCTCCTTGGGTTTCTGAGGCAGTATCACTACGGAAGTAGGATTGCCCAACCTTCCTTCCGAGGAGTGGCTGGTGGGTTTGAACCGCCAGCCGTCTGGTTAGCAGGCAAGTGTCTTAGCCACTATGCTACCAGAGCTCCCAATAGTAGCACTGATATTGGATGATTTTATTGTGCCATGCATAGTTGTTGGTAAGAATACTAAGAAGAGACTGGAAAATAAAATTCCAATGCAAGGAAATTCAAGATGGGTCTGTCAGTGTACATATTCTAACTCAATTATCTTCCCAGATGTATACCTTGCTTTTGAAAAAATGCGGGAATTGGTGCTTTAATTCAATATGTAGCATTCCATTAGTGTATTAAGTATATTGGAGCATATAATAATTATGCATACAATTGGAACATGTACAAAGAAACAACTTTTGCCTACAATTTAAAGAGAGAAAGGCCATTTCCATGAAATGCATAGAGAATGACGTTTCTATTAAAATAGATGTAGAGAGAACTACAATGCCTCCCTTCTGCCCCTTTCTCCACACTCCTTTGTACTGTCCTGTGTGTGCTGTCATGTTGTTGTTGTTAGGTGCCATTGAGTTGATTTCAACTCATAGTAACACCATGTAGAGGAGAAGTGCCCCATAGGCATCACGTAGAGTAGAAGTGCCCCAAAGGAGGAGCTCTGGTAGCATAGTGCCTAAAGCACTTGACTGCTAACCGGAAGGGTAGAAGTTCAAACCCACCAGCTACTCCTCAGAAGGAAGATGGGGCAATCTACTTCCGTAGTGATACTGCCTCAGAAATCCAAGGAGGGGATCCCTATGAGTTGGGTCCAACTTGATGGCACATAACAACAACAACAACAACAACAATCTTTATAGGAGCAGATCACCAAATCTCTCTCCCATGTATCTACTGGTTCAAACCACCAACCTTTCAGTTAGTAGCCGAGCACTTAGCCATTGTGCCACGAGGGCTCCTTTGTACTGTGCTAGTGGAGCAAACCAGAACAGATCAGTGTTTTCTGCAGCTGCGACCCTTTCCTTGCCTTTGCCTTTGTCAGTGTACCATAGCTGTAATGCACACGGAGGTTCTTTCTTTGTAAGAATTCATCAGACTCTGTTATTCGTCCTGTATTTATTGTTCTTGCTTCTATTATGCCATTCCAGATAACTGAAGTAATAAGCTGGTAGAAACAAGTAGGTCAGAACATCTACCAAAGAATTTCAATTGATGAGAGTTATGAGAACAAGTGTCATCTTTGTGTGTGTTTAAGGTAGTCACTGTTGTTGTTGATAGCTGCTGCAGAGTTAGTCCTTGATGAATTGTGACCCCATGAACAATGGGATTGGACCCTTGTGGTCCATGAGGTTTTCAATGGCTGAGTTATTGGAAGTAGATTGCCAGGCCTTTCTTCCAGGCTGTCTTAGTCTGGAAGCTCCACTTAAACTTGTTCAACATCGTAGCAACATACAAGCCTCCACTGACAGACAAGTGGTGGCTGCGCTTGAGGTATATTGGCTGGGAATTGAACCTGGATCTCCACCATGGAAGACAAGAATTCTACCACTGGACTACCACTCCCATTGCCATCGAACAGATTCTGACTCATAACCACCCTGTGGGACAGAGTAGAACTTCCCCATAGGGTTTTCAAGCCTGTAAATCTGTACAGAAGCAGATTGCTTCATCTTTCTCCTGCGGAGTGGCTTGTGGATTCAAACTGCCAAATTTTTGGTTAACAGGTGAAAGTCTTAACCACTGCACCACCAGAGCTCCTTGAACTACCCCTGTGGATGGTATCAATTTTAATGATAATATATATCCTAACTTCCTTTTCCCTTCCTTTTTCTTCTTTTCTATCAAGCTTTTAAAAGCCCTGTGATTTAGAATGGATGATAAGTAGATATTTGATGGGGGAATCATTAGCTCTAAGTTAAATGTCAGCCTTCATCTCTTTGGGCTCAGTATTTGTGAAGCAGGACAGTTTGGAAGACAATATAAATGGTATGGAATCAAAAGGTCAATACCCTGGGGTCTATGTCTGTTATTCTTGACTTTTTTCTGGTGAGCCTCTCCCAGAGTTCTAAGGATCTCAGAGGTTCCATCTCTCTTGGTGTTGAAGGATCTATGGATCACAGTTATATGATCATAGGGGCGTATACTTTTATGAATATATTTGTGCCAGAGGCTCATCATTCTTCAGCCTTTGACTGCCAGAATTATTAGTTAAGACAGTATGATTAAGGATACTAGTTTTGAATAACAACCTGTAAAACGGTTAGATCCATTTCTGCATTTTCCAACGCAGACATCAATGGACAGAGTGTTTACTGGAACACTTCAATCTTTTTTCCTAATAATTGAATTTGTTAAATTATTAATTATAAAAACAAAACCCTATGTAATACTTTCATTTTCGTTTTGTACACCTTTTGGATTTGTTTGCCTCCCACATATAAATTTCCAAGAATCATTAAGCCCTAGGAGGTTTAAAACTAGAATCTCATCAGTTCAAAATTTGCAGAATACATTTGTTTAGAGATAACTAGGGCCACCCTACTCTGCAAATCACATCATTTTTTCACATGATATGTACCCTTAGAGGCCAGACTGTGTAGAGAGAACAGTAGATCTGTTGTTGAACAGAAAAAGGAAAACTGAGCAAGATTTCGAAACACTTGAAAGATAGTTGTCCATCTCTTCCCTGCTCCCCAAGCCCATTTTCTTTTAAATAGACAGTGTGCATGTCTCATGGATTTAGGTGATGTGATGTCAGTGGCTATCAGTTTAAAGTCTATGACAATCCCTACCTTTTCTTTTTAGAGAATGTAGGTCATTTACAAATGGTTTCTAACTAGTACATTGGTGTGGGCTTCCTGGAAGGCACAGATGGTTAATGTGCTCAGCTGCTAACCAAATGGTTGGGGGTTCAAGTCCACCCAGAGGTGCCTCAAAAGCAAGGCTTGGCAATCTACTTCTGAAAACTCAGCCGTTGAAAACCCTGTGGAGCACAGTTCTACTCTGATATATATGACGTCACCATGAGTCAGAATTGACTCGATGATAACTGATTTATTTAATTATTTATTTTTGCCGCTTTGGTTGAGCAACAGAATATTGACATGTTGACAGGTAATCTGACTTGTTGGCTAAGGTATACCAGATGCTCTGTGGTCCATAAGTGGTATTTCACCTCTCATTGTTCTTTAATTTTCCTGTCTACACCAGAGGAATACTCACTACCTATTTCTCAGTGCCTAAAAGGAAAAAAAACCTTTTGTGAAAAAGACTTACCCATCCCAATGCATGATAGATTCTTGATGTCTAATTATCCTCCAAGATAACATCCAAAAAGACTTGGAATTTTTGCCCTCTTTGTATCCTCAAGGGCAAGAAATATTCCAAAAGAGTTACAAATTTTGATTAGTGAGAACACTCCTTATCTGTTCATAAGGGCAACGGTGACCTAGCCCATTAGTACTTACTTTGAGAAATGTAACTGGGCTAAGTGGCCTTGTGGGCAGTAGGTTTGGGTCCATTGAAAATACCAGTAGTGGAAATCATTACCCTTTGTTGCACTGTGCTTTCATAAATGTTGGGCTATAAAAGAAAATTAAAGAATGATACAGCCATTGTAGAAAACAGTTTGGTGGTTCCTCAAAAAGATGAACATAGAACTACCATATGACCCAGCAGTCCCATTCCTGGGTATACACAGAAGAAGAGAAGGCAGGAGCACAGATAGAAATCTGAACCCCAGTGTTCATTGCAACACTTTCACTATAGCCAAAAGGTGGAAACAACCTTTATGTCCATCAACAAATGAGTGGGTAAATAAAACATGGTACATACTTAAATGGAAAATTACTCAGCCATGAAGAAAAATGAAGTCCTGATGGCATGCTACAATATGGACAAAACTTGAAAATATTATGCTGAATAAATTAAGTCACAAAAGGACAAATACTGTCCTTTTGATGATCTTACTTACATGAAAAATATAAATATATATATATATATGTAAATATATAGAAACCAAAAATTTTTAATGGTTACCAGGAATGGAAGGGAAATAGCAAGAAGGAGTTTTGCATAGGGAGACACTCAGTTTATGTAAATGGTGGTGGGATAATTTGTGAGAATGGTTTCACAACTTTAAGAATATAATCAATGTCACTGCATTACCCATGTAGAAATTGTTGGGAAGAAAAGAAAGGGTAAATGAAAGGGAGAGAGCATCAAGCCTGAGTGAAAGACAGACAGACAATCTCCTTTTTCTTTCCACCTTAGAGGTTCACCTGGACCCCTACCGGACATGGTGTCCCATCGCAGACTGTCAAACGGTGTGCCATGTGGCATCGAGTGAACCAGGACAACCTGTGCTGGTGGAGTGCCCTTCTTGCCACCTGAAGTTCTGTTCATGCTGCAAGGATGCTTGGCATGCAGAAGACTCCTGCAGGGACAGTCAGCCTACCATCCTGCCCACAGAGCATGGGTAAGAAAAGAATCTGTCAGTGGGATGATTCGCTGGTTTTGTCTGAAACCCACAATGTGTTCCTTAGAGAAGGAGACATTTTGTAATAGCATGTTACTGTTGCTAGCTGCTGTCAAGTCATCCTCAGTGCAGGACGAGCCCCTGCATAAAAGAATGAAATACTTCCTGGTCTTGCTCCATCCTTATGATCAGGTATGGATAGGATTGTTGTGTTTCACAGGGTTTTCAGTGGGTGATTTTCAGAAGTAGATCACCAGGCCTTTCTTCCTAGTCTATCTTAGTCTAGAAGCTCTGCTGAAACCTGTTCAGCATCCTAGCAACACACAAGCCTCCACTGACAGATAGTGGCTGTGCATAAGTTTCATTGGCTGGGAATCAAACCTGGATCTCCTGCATGGAAGGAAAGAATTCTACCACTGACCCACCACTGCCCACTGTGATGGTGTGTACAAATGGGTTATGTTCCTGAAGATATTACCTGAGAAGTGTCTCAGAATTATTAAATTGTTAGTAAAGAATAACCAAAGAAGCATCTCTAAAGGGATTTTTGTTATTGTAGCTGGAGAATCCTACAGATATTGCTAAAATTAGAGTTTGTATTCATTTGGCTTTCTCTTTAGATAGAGAAGCACCATGCTTTTTGGTAGGAAGTGTTGGCTTGTTGGTGGCAATTTGCTTCCTAGGTACCATGCCCACATCTACTCGTATACCTTGTTCTTCGTGCTTGCAAAATGGGGCAGAGATTATGTTCTTATCCAACCAAATTGCCAATCATACTGGTCAAAGTATAGCAACAGAAACAACAGCCCTACAATATAGTCCAGCCCTAAATTCTCAGATAATATAGGAAGAGTATATCTCTCAACATTTGAGAAAATGTTGCCAACATTGAGATTTGTTGTGATGAGAATCAATTAAATATGTGCCAATTAAATCAAAATCTCTGAATGGAGAGTTTTTGTGGAAGCAGCAGGCCCAGAGTGAGAGACCTTTATGTTTGATCCCTTGCTTTGCTTGAGGCTATAGCTGTTCCGCATTAGCGAGAACAGCAATACCAGTGTTGTAGTCCAGTTGGTTTAATCACCCAACACCTTTAAAGTGTGTAGAGCCATTCTTTAGGAATATTAATGCTACCTGGCTGTGATGCTGTGCTTGAATCTCAGACCAAACAAACCAAGAGGGCAAGAAGAGCTAATGCACATTGCAGACATGTGACCTCATGGCTAAATTTACACCAGCAGTCCCGTGTTTTACTGACACAGCAGTCAGGTCTCTGGGTAGCCTGGGAAATGTCAGCAACTCTCAGGAGGAGGATTTGAGTTGTGACATTGTTACGTAGTATCTCAAGTCACTCAGCCTCTTGGAGTCTGTTTTCCCATCTGAAAAAAAAGGAGCTTAAAATAGTAATTGTCCTACCACTGTATGAGGTTATTGTCAGCATCAAATTGGATCATAGATTTGACAACACTTTATGAACTTCATGTCTCTATGTACTGGGTGGTGGTTTAATGAATAATAGCTAAAGTATAACCCAGTGTTGGGCCTTACCTATCCTCTCTGCCTCTCTCCACTGCAATATGTTTCCCTTTTTATTTTCTATGCCCCTTCAGGCTCTGAGGAGTGTCTGTGGGTAGTGCAAATGGTTGAAACACTCAGCCACTAACCAAAAGGTTGGAGATTCAAGTCTATCTAGAAGTGCCTCAGAAGAAAGATCTGGTGATCTACTTCCAAAAAATTAGCTGCTGAAAACCCCGGAGAGGAAGCTCTACTCTGACATATATGGGGTTGCCATCAGTCAGCATCATCTTGATGGCAACTGGTTTGATTTTTGGGGGGTTAGGCTGTGAACCTGTGCTGGCCTATTCATCTGTTTGGAACAAGTTTTGTTTTGTTTTACTATTTTCAATAATAATGAGCATTTTTAAAAAGTATTGATTGTTTCTCTTCCACTTTGCATTAGTTTAATGAACAGATCATTAGATAAATTATCTATACCCAGTTTGGATTCTGGGCTAGTTTCTCTGCTGTATAGTAGACATCTTAGTCTTCTTGTTCAGATAGTATGTGTTCGGGAAATAAAACTTCAGTGTGGCAAAATAACGAGTTAAATCAGCTATGGAACATACAATTACATAATTCACTCAAAGTCAAAGATAAATTAAGATTCTTGTTTTGAGTGATCTGAACCTCTAAGGATCTATGTCTCATATTTTTACCCTACCCTTTTCCTGGGAAGCAAGTCAAGCACAGATAACTTAAAGTTAATAACCTACTACCCTTTTGGCTCCCTGGAAATTCAGTTGAGGATCATAAAATTGAGTCTGTTGATGGTGGTGGTGGTTGCCATCCAATTAATTCTGACTTATGGTGACTCCATGTGTTACAGAGTAGAATTGCTCTCCTCAGGATTTTCTTGACTGTAGTGTTAATAAGGAAACTTTGGTGGTGCAATGGTTAAAATGTTCAGTTGCTGACCAGAAGGGCAGTGGTTTGAACCCACCAGCTGCTCCACAGGAAAAAGATGAGGCAGTCTGCTTCCATAAAGATTTACATCCTTGGAAACTTTATGGGGAAGTTCTACTGTGTCCTATAGGGTCACTATGAGTCAGAATCGACTCAATGGCATTGGGTTTGGTTTGTTTGGTTAATCTTAACAGAAGCAGATTACCAGGCCTTTTCTTTTGCATTATAGCTGGGTGGATTTGAACTTCCAATCTTTTAAGTTACCAATTGATCAAAACCATTTGTGCCACCCCAGGACCTTTCTACAAGGGCTTTAATTAATTAATTATGCTCAGACCACTCTTCCTACAGCATTGGTTAGTGTGTGTCCTTGTGGTTCTGACCTTTTTTTACTAGGCAGTATTCCTGATTCCTACGTTCACAATTTCTTATCCATTTTTTTTCTAGGGCCCTCTTTGGGGCAGACACAGAAGCCCCCATTAAGCAGTGCCCAGTTTGCCGGGTTTATATTGAACGCAATGAAGGCTGTGCTCAAATGATGTGCAAGAACTGCAAGCACACATTCTGCTGGTATTGTCTCCAGAACCTGGATGTAAGTTCCACGTGGAAGAGGGTTCTGGTATGGTATTGGCGGGGCTTCCTCCATACACTATCTGAACAACAGCCAGTGTCCTACAGGCTGCACTTTAAAAATACGGAGCCTATTAGAACAATCAACCATAGGAAATCAGAAGGGCAGTCAGTATTTGCACAAGGAGATAGCTCAGAGGGCAAGAATGCATGAAGGACACAGGGAAACGTAATGACAGGGAGGAAGTAGGAAGAGAGCTGTTACATTATGGGGATTGCAATCGAGATCATGAAATAAATCGTATTTGTAAACTTTCACCCAAATAACAATAAAAAGAAAAAAATAAAATAAATACCTAGCCTATTTTTGTCCTGCAAAAGGAATCTATTTTTCTTTGTGAGGCTTCTGACCACAGCCTATTTCTTTGTTGTTATGTGCCGTCAAGTGGGCCCCAACTCATAGTGACCCCTCCTTGGGTTTCCAAGGCAGTATCACTACGGAAGTAGATTCCCAACCTTCCTTCCAAGGAGTGGCTGGTGGGTTTGAACCGCCAGCCTTCTGGTTAGCAGTCAAGTGCCTTAGGTACTATGCTACCAGAGCTCCTGCCTATTTCTTTGTTGTTGTTGTTGTATATCTATAAAACCTCTCCTTGAAAGGAGCTCTGGTGGCATAGTGCCTAAGGCATTTGACTAAACCCACCAGCCCCTCCACGGAAGGAAGACTGGGCAATCTACTTCTGTAAAGATTTACTGCGTTGGAAACCCAAAAGGAGGTCGCTATGAGTTGGAATCAACTCAATGGCAGTGAGTTTGATTTTTCCGGTTTTTTATTATCTTAGATGTGTCACCTTAGCTTAAAAGGCCAGTGTTTGGTTTAGAGACATTTCCTGTACCTTGGGTGTTGTTTTACATTATGTAAAGTACTTTAAGTGTATTGGATTTCTATTGCTGTTCTAACAAATGACCGCACATTTAGTGGCTTAAAACAGCACTCGTTGTTATATAATCATTCTGTAAATTAGAAGTCTGACATGAGTCTCACTGGTTAAGATCAAGGTAATTAGCAGGCTGAAAAGGCTGCGTTCCTTTCTGGAAGCTCTAGGGGAGAATATGACTTTTGCCTTTTCCAGCTTCTAGAGGCTGCCTACATTCCTTGGCTTATAGCCCCTTCCTCCTTCTTCAAAGCCAGCAAATCCTTCTCTCTCTGACCTTCCTTCTAACATCACATCTCCATCGGACCACAGCTGAGAAAGGTTCTCTGCTTTTAAGGTCCCATGTGATTAGGGGCCACCTGGATAATCCAGGATCATCTCCCCCATCTCAGAGTCCTTAACTTAATCATATATCCAAAGTCCCTTGCATAATGTGAAGTAATATTCACAGGTTCCAGGGATTAGGGCTTGAACATCTCTGGGAGTGCATTATTCTGCTTACCACAATTCATTTGTTATCCTCTTTTTGAATTAAAAAAAAAAAAATCAAATCAATGGCATCTTAAACAGCTTTCTAGCTCTCATTCATCGGCATGACTGCTGGTACTGCTAATTACTATTTTCCCTCACTATTCATGGAGCTTGTCTCTTCAAATTCAGATGTGGTTTAATCCAGTCCTGTGCCAAGGCTAATGGTAACCTCAGGTGATGTGAAGGGTTAATGGGCAGGTCTTACTTCAATTCCAGTGTTTAAAGTCTGGGTGAGAAGAAGTTGTTTACAGAGAATTTTTCTTTTTTGCAAATTTGACCTATACAATGATATGTCCATGTTACTGTGAGCCTTAAGTCATGATTGGCCTACCGTTTTTCTCAGCTTTTCATTTTAATTGCCTAGTTGGCTTCAAATTGATTCACAATTTATGGTTTGCTTTAATATCATACATGCTCCATGACTACACAGTTCACATCATGAATACACAGTTGACAGGGAATGGTGTCCTCAACCTGGTTGGTTTTTAACGGAAAATTAGGTAAGTCTTAAGAATCTTAATCAGTTTGCTCTTACTGTTTTGAGAAGAGGAATAAATTGAGCAGAAGGAAATTGACAGTTTTGTGATGCTGGCAACTTCAGGTTGAAATAATTTTTTTTGTTCCTTTTTAAAAAATGGATTTATGGTAATCCCTTGAATTATAGTTGTTTGATATTTGAGGCCTACCATAATTCCAAATGAATGATATCTGAATGAGGATCAATACAACCTTCATGCTTTACAGATGAGAACAGTCTTTTTCTTTTTTAAACTTCAGGCTTAACCAGGATATTAATTAGGTTGATAGAAGTCTGGCTCATGAGGATTTCTTTAGGAGACAGAAGTGTAAGGAAGTAAACGTGTGATCTTTCTGTCCTTTGGCTGAAGTATGTTTAGGGTATGGTGTTGCAAAGAGCACACTGTTCTGGAATTTGAGATGAAATTGTACAGATGTTAAATGGTTACATACACAGACTTCAAATATTGAAGCTTGTTCTGGTCACTTTTTTTTTTTTTTTTTTTTTTTTTGAGACCATTTTTTCTCTATTTTAGCCTAGAGCAATTGACATGTTGGTGTCTATGTTTTTCTTTAGACAAGTGTTCTGTATCAGATGGTGATGGTTATCTGTGTTTATAGGAAAGTTTTATAGCATGGGGCCAGAGAAAAGGGTGACTGTCTGAAATCCAGGCCTGAGACAGATGACAGACAGTGATTTGGGGTTTTGCTGGGTTTAGTTTGATTCTCTTTCTTGACTTTCAGAGGATGAGGGATTCTTCATCTGTTTTGGGTTCTCACTTCTGGCTGTATCCTCAGGGACTTATCCCCTCCTTATCTCTTCTCTCTCCTGTGACTTCAACTTCAGCTCTCTACTTTGTCAACATATCCACTCACTCAAGTTTGTCTCATTTAAAAAACAAATGAACATTTTCTCAAGCCTACATCTTTTGCCTTTTGCTGTTAATTCCCAATTCACGATGACCCCAGGTATTACGGAGTAGAACTGCTTCAGTGGGTTTTCAAAGCTGTGACCTTTTGGAAGCAGGCCTTTCTTTTGAGGCACTTCTGAGTGGGTTCCAACTCCCAATCTTTTGGTTACTAGACCAGTGCTTAACCATTTGAGCCACGTAGGAAATCTTACATCTTTCCCTGACCACACCCCTCTGTATCTCTCCTTCTTTTATTTGTTCTTTAATTTTTTATTGTGATTTGGGCAAAAGTTTACAAAGCAGATTAGTTTTACATTCAACTGTTCATACACATTTTGCTTTCTGACTGATTACATTCCCTGCATTGTAACAGCTCTCCTCCCACTTCCTCCCTGTGGTCACCCTTTCTCTGTGTCCTTCTTGCCTATGCATTACTGCCTCCCTACTTTTCTCCCTGTGCAAATGCTGCCCTTCTGATCTCCCACACTTAACTGTTCTAAGGAGTACAGCTCCTTTTTGCTTTAAAAGCCAAACTTCAAAATAGCATCATCTCTTCTTGCTGTTGACATTACTTACATTCCTTGTCTTTTTCTAGCAATGTATTCTGATTGTCACATAGTCATATCTTTGCTGTATTCCTTCCAAGATTTCAAATTGGTAGAGTTCGATAAACACTTCAATCTTACTTGGCTCTCTGCTGCATTTGACATCTTGACCACCCTGCTCACCCTCACTTCAGTGATACCCTCTCTTCTAATTTCCCTTTTACCTGTCTGGACACATTGCGGTTTCCTTTCCACACTTTTCCTTAACCCATTTTTTAAATGAGTGTGTTGGACTGCCTTGTTACATCTTACTCTACCCTCTTTCTACCTGGATAATCTCATCCACTTCTAGGTTTCTTCTAACACATGATTCCAAAGCCTTCTTTTTCCAAACTCTAGATCTGTACAGTCAGCTGTCTTTTGAAAAAAATACTGCTTGGATGCCTCAAGTATCTCTCAAATACAACATGTCCAAACTGTGGTCATCATCTTCCCAACAAAATGTACTCGTGTGATGTCATTTTCCTGTTTCCCTCATCTACTTAGTACCTTCATAATATCTCATGACTGTATTTACTTCTTCACCATCCCACAGCCATTGTTATTTTCCTTCACCTAATTTATTCAAATAGTCTTTAAACTGCCCTACTCTTGATCACCTCATTCCATGTTACATCTCTACTAGAGCTACCTTTCTAAAATAAATCTCACTCACTGCCGTCAAGTCGATTCCAACTCACAGCAACCCTTCCTTGGGTTTCTGAGGCGAGATCTCTACAAAAGCAGATTGCCCAATCTTCCTTCCAAGGAGTGGCCAGTGGGTTTGAACCACCAGTCTTCTGGTTAGCAGTCAAATACCTTAGGCACTATGCCATCAGAGGTCCTCCTCTAAAATAAGTAGATCAGGGCATTCCTCTTTTTTAGAATCAATCTAGAGTCTCATTTATTATGATCTGTCTTCACTTGGTGATTTATAAAACTACTGAGTTATATATATTCTAAACAGTACAGGAGTGGGCTTCATAGAGGGAGTCCCTAATCAATAGAAGGACCCCTGATTCCAATAAGGTGATCTAATGTGGTTTGTATCCCTCTTTCATTCAGAACTGCTTGTTTACTGAAATCTCTTTCATTGTTTTTCAGAATGACATTTTCCTCAGGCATTATGACAAAGGACCGTGTAGGAATAAGCTGGGACACTCCAGAGCATCAGTAATGTGGAACCGAACACAGGTATCCTCACCTTAAAGGGAGCAGGAAATAAGCCAGACTTATGATGAGTTCAAGAGCCCACTTCTTGGGAAAAAAGACACTAGGATTGAATTTTTTCCTCAGAACAGATTTTAATTCTACATACCAACTTAACATAATGATTTAGACTACTGATCAATATAAAAGAGCTCTGGAAGCATAGTTGATAAGGCATTTGGCTGCTAACCAGAAGATCAGTGGTTAAAAATCCATCATCCACTCCGTGGAAGGAAGATGGGGTGATCTACATCTATAAGGGTTTATAGCCTCAAAAACCCAAAGGGGGTCAACTGTGAGTCCGAATCTACTCAGTGGCAGTGAGTTTGAGTTGATCAGTATAACTCCAGTGCCCTCTAAACAATTTGCTTTATTTGAAGTAATTTAATATCTATATATAAGGAAGACTGGGAAATCTATATCCATAAAGATTTACCACTTCAGAAACCTAAAGGGAGTCTCTGTGAGTCAGAATCAACTCAATGGCAGGGAGGTTTTTTTTTTTTTTGTATCAGTTAATATATTTTGTTCAAGTGGAACTTTTATAATAAATGAGGTGATAATGTTCTTATCTTGGGAAAAAAATAATAAAAGAACCCACATCTCATCCTCTTCACTCTATCACCTACTCTCCCATCCCAGTCTAGAAGGTTCTGGAGGGTTCCAAGGTAGGACTAGGGAAAAGTAATGGAGCAACTTCCTAAGTTAACTGATGAACACAGCCTCCTTGAGGACAAGTGGGGATGCAGAGGCACCAGAGCAGCTTAAGCACTTAACAGTGATCTTCAGAATGAAGGCAATTGTTCTTATTAAAAAGAGGTGGACTGACTTTATGAAAACCTTTTAAGGCGTATTAGCCATCAAAGACAGTGTTTAAAAATCCTATAAGCCCCTACTGGGGCTTTGAGTCCTCTGTACATATGTTTACATGGCAGGTTCAAAGAGAGTCATGTCACATTTTTAATAGTGTTTCCTATTTATTAAAGGCTATCTTGTCATCTTCTTTTTGAGAGGGTCATTGTTAACAACCTAGAAATCATTGTTAACGTGCCTATGAGTTTGTTGCAGAAACCCAGGTAGAAAAAGAACCAACATCAACAGGTGATGATTATACTTGAACTTACGGTAGAGCTTGAGTTGAATTTCATTTGCTTTATATCAAGTTCAGACCATTGCTGGGCACTGGCTAAAAGGTTCCATAAGTGTAACTTTTATGTGCCCAGGTACAGGATAGTAAAGGAGCCCTGGTGCCGCAACGGCTAAGTACTCAGCTGCTAAACAAAAGCTTGGCAATGTAAACCTTCCCAGCAGCTCCATGAGGGAAAAGAACTGGTGATCTGCTCCCATAAGGGTTTCAGACTAGGATATCATGGGCAGTTCTACTGTGCCATAGAGGATTGCTATGAGTCAGAATTGACTTGATGGCTCACAACAACTATAACAATATAGTATAGTAAGTATGAGGAGCTCTGGTGGCACAGTGCCTAAGGCATTTGACTGCCAACCAGAAGGTTGGTGGTTCAAACCCACTAGCCACTCTGCAGAAGGAAGACTGGGCAATCTACTTCCGTAATGATTTACTACCTTGGAAAACCAATGGGGGTCCCCGTGGGTTGAAATTGACCCAATGGCAGTGGGTTTGTTTTTTGGTTATAGTAAGTATAAGTATACATACAAGAAGATTTAACTACTGAAATACAATTTTCTTCTAAATTTCCAGGTGGTGGGGATTCTTGTGGGATTGGGCATCATTGCCTTGGTGACTTCACCCTTGCTACTCTTGGCCTCCCCGTGTATAATCTGTTGTGTCTGCAAGTCCTGTCGGGGCAAGAAGAAAAAGCATGACCCATCTACAACTTAAAGACTTCTGTTCATGCTCATGTGCCATGGAAATCTGGGTCATATGAGACAGCACAGTGACAAAGCCCCAGTTATTGAACTCACATCCTTCTTTTTGCCAAACTTTGGAAGTGCCTCTTATGTCCAGACTTTGAACTTGCCTGCCCAGTATCAGAAAAGGCCAAGCCCAAAGTGCGTGTGTTCCTGTGTAAAGATAACCAGGTTCTCTAGTCCAGGCTATGTCTAGGAAGCATGTCTGAAGTTTGAGATTGCTTGGGGGAAACTAGGACATCATTGTTTTATCACCCAAAGGATCCCACTGGACTGTGGAACTTGCAGCCAAATTCAAGGAGCCTGAGTAACCATGTGATATAATAAATATGTTGTCACAGTTGGCAACATGCATGGTAACTGAGAAGCGGAAGTCTGCTCTGTGTTGATTTAACCACCATGAAAACATAGGGGGAAACTCCACGTAGGAGGGGAGGATAAGACTGCTGAAGGGAAAATTCTCATAGGAGCTATAAAGCAGGCTGCTTATTTCAGGAGTAGATGTGGTGGTTTTGTCTTGGCCAGCTACTTGATGTTCTGCTCCCAGAATTCCCACAGTGACTTGGCAGAAACACAATAGATTTCTCCTTGTGTAATCTCAGCTTCAAGAAGGAGAAACTGCTGTTCAGAGAGAGCTCTCCCTTCCCAATGAAAGGGTTGCCGCACGTAGAGCAATATTGTCTAATTTAATGTCCCTACCTTGTGGCAAGTGTAACTTTGCTTAGGTGATCAATTCTTTTACAGCTAGTAGCTAGACAGTTGCCTTATGTGAAATATGGTTAGAATAGGAGAGATTCAAAACCTTCATCATAGATTGCAGGGGCCTTTCTTAGGCTCTGTGTTCATACACCCAACAGATTTAGAATTGGATCTACAAGTACATACCAGGAGTGAATTATTAAAGTCCATATGCACATCTAGAATCCATATAATTTGCAGCCTACCCAGAATTCCTGTTCATAAGGCATGCATGGATATACCCAATAGTACACACAAAATAAATGGTTACTGAAAAGCCATTCTGTCTTTCCTTCTGTGACTAATATGGTTTATTACAAATCAACTTAAATATTTTTTTACATATTATATATGTGAATTTTGGTTCTGAGTTAATAACTTATCCAAGGGTATATATATAAACCCATAGACATAACTCTTTTAGAACAGTAGGGTATAATAGTATGTCATCTCTTTTTGTAAAAAAAAAAATTGTTAAGGGATTTACATATTTTCAAACAACTCAGAGCAGTTGTTTTGTCAGCATCATTTAATATTGCTCCTTCAGCATTTCATCGTAGGGCACTCTGAGTACTTTGTTTGCATAGGCACTGATGAAACAACAACAAAAAATAGGTAAGAAATAAAATGTAAATGCTTTATATATCTGAAAGAGTGTGAATTTATATCACCTTACTGTGACTTGTTTTTCCTACTATGTCATTAGATAGCTTTTTAATAAACGGGTTTTGAAAGGATAAAAAAAAATTTTCTCCAAGGACAGGATTATATATAATTACCATTAGCAATGTAGGATGGTGCTTCATGTTAACTGTACTCAATGTTTATGGAGAGCTTGTCCTGAAGCCAAGAGTACCACATCAGGAACTATCAGGGCCTATGACATTTTTTGAGGTAACTGAGTACCTAGTTTGTTAAATTGCTGCTATCTCAGACCTGTTATTAAAGGATGATGCTTTGCTTATGTAATAGAATGTATACTAAGTGGGGATGTATATATTTAAAGAACTTTAGTTCACATGTATATATTTGATATATGTATAGTACATCAATTGGTCATGTACAATTTATTTACAGTTTGTATAGAGCATAGTTGAGCACTCTGGGAAAACTTTTGAACGGCAACCAACCAAAACATTTTTAACCATTTGTTAGAAATTTCTCAATATCAACAGTCTTTGCTTTTCTTCTAAGCACTAAACACTTCAGAAAAAAAAAAAAGAACCTTCTTCTGTCGATGTATTTCATGTTAGTATAAATATAAATGTACATATACTTGAATAGTCAATTTGCTTTTTCTTACACATAGCCTACTGCCTCATTATAGGTCAAAGGGCATTTATAACTGCTCAGGGGATCACAGGAACTCCAGTGAAATTGAACTTTTGTAACAAGAATGTCAGTACTGGTAATGGCATCCTCCATTATTAAGCTCTCCAAGCTTGGATCCATAAAGAACCTTTAAACGGGTTGATTGCAAGTCACCTAAAATGTTTGTTATAAGAAGGAGAGCTCCTGAATTTGGTGTAAAGGTGGAAGAAAACATCAATTTCTTGGCAAAACTAAAAGAACTTGTCTAGTCATAGAAATACTGTAACAGAGTCGGCTACTTTTTCATGGGGGCAGGGATTGTTGTATGCCAAACAGGTTTTAAATAACTGGATTTAACTTTTGAAATTTTGACAAGTGCCTGGGGGGGGGGGAAAGTGACTTCTTTTAACTAAATGAATTGGCGAGTGCAAGACAGGATCAACAGGAACCAGTTGGTAGGTTAAACCTAAACTTATCTCTGGTGTATCCAAGGGCTAGACCCAAGAGGACGTAGAGGCTTTGTTTACAAGCAGAGAGCTGACAACTTTGATAATAGAGGCTGATACTTTTGTTTTGGATAATTGGCCAGTGAAGAATTAAACCTTGTTTCCTTCCCTGTCAGCTTTGTCCTTTCCTAGTGATTCTTTTTGTGTACTAGGAAGATACAGGAGTCTAGGTAATAATGTTGGATGTTGGGGCAAACATATTTTTTGTGTTTGAAGCAGTATAAAGTATTCCCCCCAACAAAAGAAAAGACAGTTGCCATGTAATCCATTCCAGCTACTCATGGCAACCCCATGTGTATCAAAGTAGGACTGTGCTCTGTAGGTCTGTGACTATAATGCAGTCTATTTGAAATAGAGATAAAAAATCCTTCATTAAATTGAAATCTGATATAATACCCATCATCCAGAAACACTGTGGAAAGTAACGACACGACATCAGTTGTTGCCTCATCCAAAAAATTTTTTCTTGCGCTTAAGTAGGGAGGTGAGGAGGAAAGCAAATTTTAGAATCTTAGGCATCCTACTTAATTCATGCCATGAATCTCCACTAAAATCTGTATTTTGAAAGAGGCTTTTGAATAACAAATACGTCATGGTGTGAATTTTCTTGTAGTCTGCATCATGAAAATCTTACCTATCCAGGTTTTAAAATCCACATGTTTATTTGAAGGTAAATCACTGTTTCCTTGAATCTCAAATTTTCTCTTAAAAATTATTCAGAGCCTCAACGTGTATTGCTTTAGCCTTTTGTACACTGTGCTTCTAAAAGACTTCTCTTTCTGTTTGTGAATGGATGCCTTCATGTATATACTCATGTATATATCTATGTAACTTTAAGGACAATTTCAGAAATGCCTTATTAGAGGGATGAAATTTTATAAAGCTCTCATAGCTGATATCTGTAGACTATTACATCTCATGTTGATTCATGATTGGGAAAGTTTTGTTATGTATTTAAGAAATTGTGATTGTATTCTATTTTTCCAGTTCTTTGGGAGGAAAATTGCTGTTTTAGTCTCTCTAGCCCCAATAAATGTGGAGCAGAAAATCAAGTGTGTGAACTTTTGTTGTGCTGTACATGTTTCATTCAATTGTATCATCCAGGAACTAACCAAATCACAATTAAATCCTAAATTCGGAATGTGCAAAAATTACTAGAATCTGCAGTACCATTTATGGAAATAACTCTTGCTACCAAGTTTCTTAAATGGGCTAAGTCCAATATCTTCACTTGTTGTAGACTTTGTTTTTCTATGTATGACATTCCACACTGACAGTGTACAGGAACTGATCATTATCCAGAGAAATACCAATCCTGGAAATCTCTGGTCATTCTAATAAAAAATACTACCATATGTCAAAACCATTATTTCTATAAAATAAGCATTGGACCAAAAGTGCTCTAAGGTCAGTTCTGTTGTTGTTGTTATTTGCCATCGAGTCGGCCCCGACTCATAGCGACCCCTCCTTGGGTTTCCGAGGCAGTATCACTACGGAAGTAGGAATGCCCAACCTTCCTTCCGAGGAGTGGCTGGTGGGTTTGAACCGCCAGCCTTCTGGTTAGCAGTCAAGTGCCTTAGGCACTATGCTAACCTTCCAAAAGTCTATTAAAAAAAAAAAAAAATCACTGTCAAGGAGTCAGATCTGACTCATAGCGACCCCTCCTTGAGTTTCTGAGGTGATATCACTAAGGAAATAGATTACCCAACCTTCCTTCTGAGGAGTGGCTGGTGGGTTTGAACAACCAGCCTTGTGGTTAGCAGTCAAGTGCCTTAGGCGCTACGTTATCAGAGCTCCTAAATGTTTATTTGAGGAATGTATTTCCTTATTAGGATTTTTAAAGGAAGATTTCACATTAGAGTATTAATTTAAAGTTATTTCCATTTGATTAGTATTCATGGCAGGACTCACCTAAAGTTGAGTGCCAGAGATTGATTAAGAACTTGGACTTACGTCTCTGCAAAAGCTAAAGCACTCTTTCTTGTGCTGGGGTTATTGATGCTGTTTTATTGAATGTTCTATGCTCTTAATATGAAACCTGAGTACAAAGTTTTACAACTGACTTAAAATTCAAATTTCCTTTTCTTATCCTTTTGGAAGAAAGCAATAAGATTATTTAAAAACATTTCTGATAAGGTTATGCTTTCCTAATGTTCTTAATTATCTTCTAGAATGTAAACATTATTTCATGTTTAAAGTGAGCTTATTGTTGAGAACCTTGAATTTGCATTCCCAAAGAATTATTGAAAGAGCCATTTTATGCATCAGTGATTTTAATCAAAGCTCTAACCAGCAAACTTATTTTAATGTAAATTATGAATCTAATGGATATGGAAGAGAATTATAATTAGGCTTTTCTGTAATTCAATTATTTTCATTTGTTAGGAAATAAACCTAGGTGGTGTTTTTTTCTTTCTTTCTTTTTTTTTAAGACCCAAGATACCATCCAATTCCATATTCTGAGAAAGAAATTAATTTCTTAAAATACTTTATTGAAAGCAATTACAGTATCTTTTATTTATCTATTTTTGCATATACTTTTTAAAGAACCTTCAAGAAT